TGGCTCCCGTCGCTGCGCAGCAAGCGGGTGGATTTTGGGGGGTTCGGTGACTCCGGAGCATCGCGGTGGGATGACGGGAACAACAATGCCATCATGTTTTTGAGGCAGGAAACCTCTGAGTTTGCCCTGAATGAAGAACTTCCTGTGTTTAAACTCGCACGAATATCCGCTGACAAGCTCCGTTCAAATGAAAACACGAGAGTCGGGGGGAGAGGCTAATTCAGACCAGCTGGACTTCCACCGGACTCGCTGGGAGCTGGGCAGAAGATGCCAGGAGCCGCTCGCCGCTCGGGCTGCGATACGTGAGCGGCCGGGACAACCAGTGCCTTTGTTATTTAAAAAGGACCGGACGGGATAAATTAAGATCTTCAAACTTTTCTGCAATTTCTGTCGCAAACGGCGATTGGGAATATTTTATCGAAGCTGCTGGATTTGGCTGGTTTTTGCTGATGGATGGGGGTTTTTTTTACGGGGGTCGGGAGGGATGAGATGGGTTGTTTCGCTGCTCGGTTTTGCCGGTCGGGCTGCTGAGCCGCCGCGGTGCTGCCGGTGCACCCTCCCGTCCCCGTAGCGTGGCTGCTTTGGGATTAAGAGTCTCCCACGGTGGGTTTGGGACCTGCCGGCTGTGTGATGCTTCCTGCGGTGGCGGGCGAAAGGGGCGGTTCTGTCACCCGTAAGGACGAGAGCATGGGCAAACCACTGAGCCGGCCAGACTGTTTACGGCAGAACCGCACTTGCCTGGGGAAGGGCGAGGAGGAGGATGGTTATATAGAGGATTGCTACGTGCCCCAGAGGTCGATATACGACACGATGAGAATTAACGAGCAAATCGATCAGGGATCGAAGCTTAACCAGCTTTCTAAGAGCACCCTGGGCAAGGGGGATGGCAGCACCATATCCAGCAATGGGACTCTGGGAGCTGCCAATGTTTTCGAGTCCAGGGCGCCGGAAACGAAGAAGTTGGATGAGCGAGTCATCTTCGACGCGCTGAAGCTCAGCAGTGACGTCTCCAAGCCGGCGCCGGCTCCACCAAGGAGACGACCCAACCCCGAGAGGAAGGAGAACGTCAACCGGCGGTCATGGAAATCCTTCATGCCGCCCAACTTCACCGAATTTGCCGAAAGGATGGGGGCTTCGCTGAGCGAGGTGTCGGAAGCGGGTGCCTCCAACCCTTCCCTGCGGGATAAGCGGGAGTCGAGCGCCATGCTTGCTGAGCACCCGGGCCAGCCCGACCTCGGCGAACCCATGTCCGAGTCCCTCACCTTGGAGCACATCTCCAAGTCATCTGGCACGGCAGAGGCTCTGACGGCCAAGCAGTTCGGTGCGGATGGCTACGGCGGGGCCCCGGGTGAGCGCCAGAATTTGCTGAACGCCGGTGATGGCCGCGGTCGCGTTGGGGACCTGGCCAGAGCTCGACGGCTTCCCAGTGCCACCTGGCCACGAGCCAGGAAGAATTTCATCAAGGGGAGCCTGAGCGATGGGCACCAGGAGACCCTGGAAGCCTCCGGGTCAGACTGTACGGTGGAGAACGTCAACCTCTCTCCATGCCTTAGCGAAGAGCTGCTGGATGCGGGGCTGGATGTGCTCATCGCCTCCAATCTCAGGGAGAAAACGGAATCTGAGCTGAGATTTGAGGAGGACGAGCGCTGGGTGATGATGGAGGAGTGGGAGGAGGCGACGCTGTCAGAGCGAGGAAAGGCTGTTCTGGTGGCAGAGGAGAAGAAGAGCTGTTGCTTGGCAGATATTTCTGAAGAAAGGGAACAATTTGCTGCTCCGGCAGACAGCTCTGTCCCCAACCTGGGGACCTCCCAGTCCTGTGTGTCCCCGGGGGGTGCCAGCAGCCCCCTCGCCGGCACCACGTGCTGTACCGAGGACGCCGCGGTGCAGTGCGAGGCTAAAGACTTTGCTCCGGGTTCGGAGCGCTCAGCCAGCCCCGCAGCCCCCGAATTGTCCGACACGGACTCGGTGCAGATGTTCCTGGAGCTGGAGGAGCAGTGCCTGAACGAGGATGATGGGGCTGGCCCGGGCTGCTTGGGGGTTCAGGTCTCCCCGATGGACTCGGAGGGGCTGGACCCAGATTCGGCCAAAGTGGCCGGGGTGGTGGGGGTCGAGGTGTGTCACCATACAGCTCCTTTGGATGTCAGCGCTTCGGACTCTGCCGTCGTGTCGGATCTGGAGGACTTTGATGTCACCTGCAGCTCGCAGGTGCTGAGCGCGCTGGAGCCGGTGACGGAGCCCTTCTCAGAAAGGGACACCTCGGCTGTCACCCCCACGGACTCGGACGGAGGGACGTCCCCCAGCCCCATGGCCATGGTGGGGCCGGGCTCCCTCCAGCAGTGCTCTCCAGCACTGGAGGATGCGCCCAGCCCACTGGTGGACCCAGAGCCCGCGGAGGGTTGTGTGGTGGCACTGCTGGTGGCTGGGGGGATGCCACCTCCTGAGACGGGCACACGTCCAGCCTCTGGCTTGGAGGGAGCTGGTTACCCCAGCGCTCCGGTGGGTTGGGGTGAGGATCACACCAAGAATCGCTGGTCCCTGATGGTGAAGTGTCCCAGCTTCCCGAGGAGACCTGTCCTGGGCTAGTGTCCCCAGCAGGGCTGTCCCCCTGCCAGCCCCCAGCTCCCGACACAGCGGGGGAGGAGCTGGGGGCCCCCCTGCAGCACAGTGAGGGGACGGATCCATTTGGGACCCATCACCTTCTTCCTGGAAGGACTGAGCTCACCAGTTGGGATGTCCCAGAACTGGTGTCTGAGGATGAAGCCCCAGATTTGGGATCTGAGGGCCAGACTCATCCGGCAGAAAGCGGGGATGCTCGCCGGGGTTCTCTGCCAACTTCCCACACCGGCTCTGCATCGGAGCTGGGCTCCGAGGCTCCGACGACGTCCCCGGCGCCTGC